GGAAGGAGGAGAAAGGGGGGAAGGAAGGAGGGAAAGGGGGTAGAGAGGAGGAAGGAGGAGAAAGGGGGGAAGGAAGGAGGGAAATGGGGTAGAGGGGGAAGGAGGAGAAAAGGGGGGAAGGAAGGAGGAGAAAGGGGGTAGAGGGGGAAGGAGGAGATAAAGGGGACACCAGGGGGGAAGGGGAGGGATCAGAGGAAGGAAAGGGGGCCTGGCAGAGATGTTGATGCACTGCACAGTATCAGGCCCACCAAGCAGGATTGCCCACCATAGCCCTAATTACACCACCTCAAAGGGGTGGCCATGTTAGTCTGTAACTTTAAAAACAACCAGTGGGGGGGTAGAGGGGGAAGGAGGAGATAAAGGGGACACCAGGGGGGAAGGGGAGGGATCAGAGGAAGGAAAGGGGGCCTGGCAGAGATGTTGATGCACTGCACAGTATCAGGCCCACCAAGCAGGATTGCCCACCATAGCCCTAATTACACCACCTCAAAGGGGTGGCCATGTTAGTCTGTAACTTTAAAAACAACCAGTGGTCCTGTAGCACCTTAGGCTACATCTAGACTGCTGCTTTTTTTCGGAAAAAGGTACGCAAATTGCGCACTGCAACTTGCGTACCTTTTTCCGATTGATTTTTCGGAAGAGGCTTTTTCAAAATTAGGTCCATCTACACGGGGTCAAATTTTGGAAAACCTCCTCTTCCGGAAGAGCCCTTATTCCTCATAAAATGTGGAATACAGGGCTTCCGAAAGAGTGCGTCTGCTCTTCCAAAGTGTTCCCTGGATGCAGTGGTATCCCAGAAAAACTCCGTAGTCTAGACATAGCCTTAGAGACTATCAAAACTATATAGAACCTTGAGCTTCTGTGAGTAAAACACAAGCAGTCCCGATGGTTTGTTGTTCAGGTCACGTGTTCTTGCTCTGTGCTCTCTGTCCTGGCAACATCATGCATTTAGGAGACACACCCTCCCTCAGGTTGCTTCCCGGGTTGGATCTCTCACCTGACCCATCTTACACACCCTTTCCAAGGACTTGTCTACCTAGGGAAAATGACCAAAATAACTAGTCCGCTTTGAAAGTAGATTAAGCTAAATCAGGAAAGGCACACTTTTATATCAAGAAAAAGAGTGCCCCTATAGAGAGTTATTCCAGAATAGCTATCATGCTTTAAATTCACCCTCTACTTCATTTCAGGACAACTTCCCTGTGTAGACAAGCCATAAACTTCACCTTGCATTTGGTTACAACTGGCTATACAATACTCTATGGCTGTTTAGGGGCTAACCTCATCTATGTTGTCTACCATGTACCAACAAAGTCCACTGTATCCTACCACACTCTACCCATTGTTCCCTATAATTTTGCCTTGGGCATCTGGCAACACAAGGTTTACTCCCTGACTTGATTTAGAGGTACCAATAAAAGCCCTGCAGGGGATTATTTCTCTTGTCTCACTGCTGCTTATTTGCTCTTCCCAGAGCATGGGCTGCAAGCCTGATGTTTCTTTTCCAAAACCATGAGTTCAGGAACCTGCCCACATTCTCTGAATGCAGCCATCCAGCTGAGCCCCCTGAGTACATCTGTTTTTCTATGCTGTTTGCAGGGTCTATAAATCCCGTTGTTGGCTATAGCAGACATTTCGATTGTCAACTCCTTGGGAACTGCTCCATCTCTGTTTCAGAGAAGGACAAACACAGCGACAGTGCTTAAAGATTGCCAGGTCTCTGAAACAATCAGTTCCAGGTTTTAAACTCATGAAGGCTCATGAGTCTGTCCATCCCTAGAGTAGCTCAGAGGGCAGGTTTTAAACTCATGAAGGCTCATGAGCCTGCCCATCCCTAGGGTAGCTCAGAGGGAAGGCTCATGGTCCTTCATGAAAAGACAGTGGTTTTCTTTCCAGCAGTGATGGATCCTCCTCTCACAAAAGCTGGGATTTCAATTGTAATTAAGGGAGTTAGGTACCCATTTTAATGGGAGTTGGACACCTAACACTCTCAGACAGACTCCTTTGAAAATGGTAGCCTAGGATCATTTCCCTCTCAGTGCAAATGATAGGGAAGGGTAGGAATCAAAGGAACCTACTCATACAAAGGAATATGTTGGTTCAGGAATTGAATAAAGAGAGTACATGAACCCAGAAATGTCCTTTGCAAATGGCCTTCAGGATTTAGTTGTGGATTTAGTGAACTAGCAGGATTTGCATAGACCACTGGCGACCTCTACTGACTATTTAGAAAAATATTCGAACGCCTGAAAGGAAAGAACCCCTTACCTGCTGATGCTTCTGGTCAGAGGCCCCTGCCCAACAACAGTGGGTTCATTACTTAGCTTCACAGCAATTAACATGTTCACACATTGTCATCTATTTGACAAGGAACCTAACAGGTGGAAACTTCCTATGCTAAAACCAAAAGGAAACAAAAACTTGGACCTGAAACAGATGGGCTGGATTTTGAACTAACTTCTCGTGCATTTCTGACAGTGCCTGCAGATAAATAGGTGTGCAGAGGCGTAGTGAGGGTGTTATGCGCCCGGGGGCAAAGGAAAAATTTGCGCCCCTCCCTCCCCCCCCATCGCCATGTGGCACAGCACCGAACCTGGTGCACAGCTGAGGGGAACTTGTACTACAGTTTGGGGCCGGGCTCCCGCATGCACTAACCCGCCGGTGGAGATGGAAGAGGGGTCGGGCTTGGAGCAGAGAGGCAGGCAGGAGGCTCCAGCTGCTGGTGGCAGGCTGAGTAGGAGCACGTGAGCTGAGGGATGATGGGGGGAGCAGAATGGGATTAAATTGGCGCCTCCCTAGCATGGTGCCCAGGGGCAACTGGCCCATCTGGCCCCCTCGCTACGCCACTGCCCCCCCCCTTCAGATCTATCATCTTATGCATGTGCAAGGTCTGTGAGAGCCGTCCCATGAATCTGCAGTTAGTGTCTGTGGCGCCTGCTTCTGGGTGGTGTCTCAGTGCTGCCACATTCACCTCCAAAGAGGGGGCTTCCCAAAACAGGGCCTTGCTGCTGACCCCCAAAGCATCCACAGGTCCAGTCTCCTTTCAATGGGCCCGCTTCCCAGGGCTCATTGATCTTGGATCTGGCTTCCATCCCCTCTCCAACCTTTGCAGCTGCCCAGAGGTGCTTACCTTCCGCCTTATCCATTCCCACCTCATTCACCCCACAGGGTCAGTCTCTGCCTCACTTGTCCTAGGGCCTATTTTACCAAGACTTAATACAAAGTTTCCATGTAAAAGGACCCACTACAAAGCTAAATAGTGATAGATTTGATTTGTCCTTTTCATATGTGTTCATTTTTTTAATTGTATCCTTTGGTATATATGTGTAACCCTTCTGCC